CCTGCTTGCCTTCTCTTGGTCCTTCGGGGAGGACGGCGTAAGTCCCTCCAATATTGCTGAAAGCCGTCGGGCCCATCGAGGTTCCATTTCTTCTCATCAGAGAAGATAATGGAATCCCAATAGGACCGCGTCTTTCAGCAACAGCTTCTCCGTTGCCCACGTGAAGCGTGCGGCCATGTCTTCCGGGTTTAGCGGAAGCGTGTTGACCATTTTCGTGAAGACCAGCCAGTCGACCCACAAGAAGACACGCTGGATGGTCCTCACGTGCACGCCGAGGCCCAACTCGGCTTTCAACTGCGCCGCCGAGTGCTCGCCACGCGATGCAGTGCGCACAAGACGCCTGACCTCGCGGTCTGTCAGTGCTGGGGGCGCTCCGCTTCTTTTGGGGGGCTTCGCGGCCTTGCGTGCCTTGGGTGGAGGCTTGGGAGCCAGTGCACGGCAGATGGTGTCGGGGCTGTGGCCGAGGCTGCGCGCGATGGCGCGCTTGGAGGATCCAGCCTCAAATAGGCCGTCAATCCTCCCCCTCTCTCGCTCGGTTAATGGAGGCTTCTTGATCTTCGGCATCTTTTAGAATGAGCCATGCACTCCACGCTCATGGCAGCCACCCACAAGGTACACGCGCTGCAGCCACAAATTTTCAGCTTTAAAATATACTTGATTTTTGTAAAGTCTGTACTGTCCGATCTGATCTGTCGTAGAGCTGAAAGTGGAAAGTTGTATTGGAGGTCCCCCACAGCGGCCGAATCTGCGCTCGTTAGCGCTACTAGGCTTTTCCTACTGTCAACAACTCGCATATATCTAAATAGTATGGCCTAACTCGCAGTATTGACGGCGCTAGAGCACCGTAAGTGGATGTCCGATGTGATCTGTCGCGCAGAGTATACAGGATCCTGTTGGGACAGCCGGCGATAAGACAACCAGGTCATGAAGATTTTCACGTCCTGGAACTCTATTCAGATTATCCTCCCTTAGCTACTAAAGCCAGTAGAACAACTTTTCATCAAGTATATAAATTGATCATGTTAAGGCGGTTGGTGTGGTGTCTATTCATGACATTTAGTACGATTCGAACGAAATATTTCAAATTTGGAAAAGTATGGAAATATCTGACGATACACCAGACTTTACCAAGGTCCCTAGTGTGACCATTTCAGAAGATGAAAACAGCTTAGAATGGACGTGCACATAATTCGTGTGGGTATGTACCACTAAGTCCTACTAACATCTTCTAATTTGACTGCATTTTTTTTACTGGTTATTCTATAATCACATTGTTAGTTACTTCGAAGCAGACAGCAAAAAACAAGTCTACCAGTTGGTGGAATCAAATCCTACCATGTAAGATAGGATATTACATGTTGTATACCGGTTTTCAAGCTCATCTTAGCTGTATAATAATAGAGACTCTTCATGATGAAGACAGTGAACCACCTGCTTTCTTGCGGATAGGATTGGGGAGACCAAATGGGCTTTGTCTAGCATAGACCAGACCGGCATCGTCAGGCCAACTCAGCCTCGATAGACTCATTCACAACTCACACCAGTGCTCAAGCCACGCTCAAGATGACTGAGTTGATAACGACGGATGAGGTCTTGTTCGACGACATTGTCGGTCTTCTCGATTTCAACGGCTCCCTCACACCGAGACTGTCAGTTGGAGATACCGACGCCCTCACGGCGGCTCTATTCAACGAAACTACAGACCCCGCAAGGCCATCCACGGACAACGATGACAACACCAAGCACGACAGGCGAATCCGCAAGCGAGAGAGGGAGAAGACTCGACAGCGCCTGTATCGACAGCGTCTCCGAGACAGTCGAGACGGGCTACAGCGACAAGTTGACGAGCTGTCCAAGGAGCTACAACGCTTGAACGAACAGGCTGCGATGAGGAAGGAGCAGCAAATGTGTACTGATGTCCTCACACACTCTAAATGGGTCTCAGAAATAGCTCGACAACGAGAGCAACGCGCGTTATCTGAAGCCGAACACAAGCGTTTGATCGCCGCTGTAAACCACCAAGCCTCATACATCAAAGGCCTTCGACAGATGGTCCTCCATCGATTGGATGGCAACGCTGTTTCCTACGGCAAGGGTAACAGCTTCAACTGCTTTAACAACTTCCCGACAATACACTCTATGACGAGTGAGCTGTACACGACCTACTTGCAGCAGCTTGAAGGCTCGTACGCTCGTGCCGACAGCGTTCTGAACGCTTGTGGCTTGATGACGATGTCAGAGACGGCAGTCGACTCGACCCATAGAAGCAAAGCCGACAGCGAACTGGCATATTTCCAGCACGTTAGCAAAGTTCTGCTGCCCTATAGTTTCCAGAAAATATGTGAGGCTATCTGGACGACGATACATGAGCAAGAGGAGCCAGCGTTTGGCGTCTATGAGACGGCACCCGACCATGATGTTTTTATCAAGTCGCGTGTGCTCACGTCGCTAAACGTTGGAACTCTGGTACAGCGATTCATCTCACGATACTACGAGGAGGAGAACCGAATGCTGTTCGTATGGAAGATGTCCACCAAGGGCGAAGGAGACTTCAGCGGACTTCACGCAGATGAGACGACTTGGTTGAGTGTTCGACCAACAGCTACTGGTGCTATGGTGGAACTTTGTGTACAACAAGTACCTATTCGTTTCAACTTGGCCTCCAACCGTGAAGCAGCAGAGGAAATATTCCACAAAATGCTCCATGAATCACTTAAGGCGGACAAGAGCGGGATGTTTACGAGGCTGGAGAGCTTGTTACTCGACGACATTTTGACTGGGATCGAGTGCTAAATCGAGTTAAGGAGGGAGTAGATTTTTTTGAACTGGAACGTATTGCAACCAACAAGTAACGAAAGACTTTCTCTGCTGGCTTGGAGAAAAGGAAGGGAAAATTCCAATCTGGCTCGATTTGAATAATATTTTTAATCGGGGACTCATTCTTTGCGGAGGAATTTGAATTGACTTCCAGGAGGGCACAACGGCTACCAGTTTAAAAGCTTATTTCTAGATTTGGAAAATTCAATAAACGGGTTATACACTGAGCTAACGAATTTTATTCCAGTTTAGTCGATGTGGACTCGTATAAATAGACACAAGTGTTTAGAACCAGTCAAGCAATCGGACTTACTTAAGTAGCATCTAATAAAATGCTACTTATAGGTAAGTCCGATTGTTTTTTGTCTTCCTACAAGCTCAAGCTGCACCTCCAGCGCAAAAGCTCGTGCGTACCATCGTAAAGCAAGTTAAAAAGAAGAAAGAGATTAGTCGGCTCTCAAGCAAGGTACAGTACATTAAAAAACAGTTCGATAAGGTTTTGGGGTGGGACGAGGAAGAGGATGGCGAAGACGATTCCATGGGTGTTGTTAGTCTGGCTCACAACGCTATTTGGGTGACTGGTACGGACAATTTAAACGGGCAAACTCTTAGCAACCATCGATTGGTATTGTGCTTTGCATCAACTTTGGCTTATGAATAGCGCCTCTAAAACAACAAAAATTCTATTTTCGTGTATCTAAAGCAAGAACATAACCCAACGTTAAAAATAAGTTAATCATACCGGATATCAAAGGAACTCTGCAGCTACAATGCAAAACACAGCGACTGTAATGGGTTCTGTGTGTGCCCACTACTTCGGCTTACACGTTAGCGCGCGTGTATGAGGAAGCGTAGTTTGCTTAAACTTAGATTAACTCTACTTACGTCTCGTAAGTTTAGATTTACTTAAATAAGAAAGCAAATGCCGATTTACCGTAAAATTGAGAACTGTTATTTATGTTTATGTTTTGTGTTTGGGTTTCCTCCTAACGTAATATTCTAAATGAAAGGTATTTGCTAACAAGTGGTAGGCAGAATCCCGCTAAGCTAATTGGTTGAAAGTGATCGCCTTTCAATCAATAGGAAGTCTATCTGTCAAATGTAACCA